TTCGCCCATGGATCCCAACGTGAAGCTTGAGAAGCTTCCCGACGACACATCCTACCCCGAAATCAAGGCCGTATACCAATCTATGGTCGGCGGCTTGATGTACGCGGCAATCAGCACCCGTCCAGACATCGCATACGCGGTGCAGACCCTTTCCCAGTTTAACACAAACCCTGGACCCACGCATCTCACCGCTGTTAAGCGTGTCTACCGCTACTTGCGTGGTACAACAAACCTTGGCATCACTTACTCGGCATCTTCAGACTTGGATATAAATACGCACGCTAATTATTCCGAGCCCATTCTATTCACGGACGCCGACTGGGCCAATTCTTCTGATGACCGCAAGTCGATCTCCGGCTATGTTTCTATACTTGCAGGGGGAGCCACGACTTGGTCATCAAAGAAACAAGCAACTGTCGCGCTTTCTACAATGGAAGCCGAATATATTGCACTCTCGCATGCAGCACGCGAGAATCTTTGGTTACGTTCACTCTTCACCGAGCTTAACCTTTCCCCAACTGAACCAATTCCCATCTTCGTTGACAACCGTGGCGCTATTGACTTCACATTCAATGCCGGCTATCACGCCCGTTCCAAGCACATTGACATGCGCCATCACTTTATTCGTGATACCGTTGCCTCTAACGAGGTATCAGTTCACCACTGCGCATCAGGCGATAATTTAGCGGATATATTCACGAAGCCGCTCCCACGCACCCAGCATGAGGAGCAAGTTCGCAAACTCGGGATGACTCGAGTTTGAGGGGGAGTGTTGAAGATTAGGCAAACGCCGAGCCATCACCGAGGTGCTGACTAACCCCGACTGTGATGCGCCGAGCGCTCGAAGGCGCCCGAACATTCCGCTCCATATTTCTTACTAACTTTCTTATTCATCCTGGAGCAGAACCTTCTAGATTACATTTCTGTAGAGTATAAATACTCGAAGTTTTAGCGTAGAAATACATTGAATTTTATCTTCTAAAAATATCCCAACTTCATCAGAAAATGCATCAGACGCACCTGGATCCCAGGTGCGTCGGCTTTTGCCCCCGGTGTGAACTTGAACAGTTCGACTGTCATAAAACTGGTTGGAGTCTGACTACGGGAGACTACTTGAACAGCCTGAATCCGAACCAAAAAACCGATCAATATCGAAACTTATGCCAATGTCATATTCATTTGACGGATGCTAACACTAGCGCACGTCCAAAGATCGGGAATTCGATCCTTGCCCAATATCGGCGGTAACCGCGTCCTTGTGCGGACGTGATTCGTCCTGGCTGCAATGTTTTTATGACATAATTGACTGGCGTGCACAACGCTATTGCAATATTCTCTGCCCTCTCAACTGTGCGTCCGTTCCTGCGCAGAGGCTGGTCCGTTCATACTCAAGGTTTTCAGGCATCGAAGTTCGTCATGGAACTAGTTCCAGGCCGGCAACAGCGCTGCACCCAACCGAACCAGATCCGCAGCGTTTTTTTGCGGAATTTCGTAATCTGGCCACAGGCGTATTGGTGCGCAGGGTTATTGCAACGTATCTTGCCGCCGGAACTACGATCGATCATCACCGAAACTCCCGGACGAATGGAGCCTTCGTGGGGGAAATGTTGCACCGTGTAGCGTCGCGTTAGCGTGCTTCGCAGACTGCTCACTGGTCCGGTGTTACTTCGAATAAACCTGTTTCTTACAATGCTGTCAGAGCTGCATATATAACTGAGCGCGGAAATGGAGAATAGCTCGATGGTCATGTCAATGATCTGCTCAACTCCTCCGACATTAAACCTGTTCCGTTTCTCAGACAACGGAGCACGGCAGAAGACAAGGGATGGATGGATCGACTACACACACACATATATATCACCGTACATACATCTCCCATCGGGTCACAAAGCATGGAGAACAACAGACAACATCCAATGTGTTCATCCGGCGGAGGAGGGGTCCCATCGCCCTGTGAGAATAGCATCTAACTAGAACTAGAACGGAGCATGGATTGGTACAACACACTGGAGACATCTGCACGGAGCGAACGCACCAGAACCATACGCAATTGTAGCGACTGCACAGAATCAGACGCAGGTATAGAGACTGCACCCGCGCGCCTCGTCCACCGCACGATCGGCATGCTAAACATAATCAATACTCGATACTCAATCCTCGACTTATGCGAGGTTTAAGGGTGGTGATGACGTACCGATACAGGGGCTGGCAGAGCGCAGACACTCAGCGCGACTGTAAAATGAACATTAATGGAAATGAATGCTGGGAAGGGGGAAGGATGCGAGATATGGTAGGAGGGAGGGACGCACGGCACGCGGCGAGGAGCAGGCTGAGGTGCATATGCATGGTCGCTAGGAGTCGAATGCTAGGTGCTTTGACGACGACTTGAATGCGCATTTATACGAAACCCCACAAACACAATGCCGAAAACGGGAGTGACAAGCGACATCCCGCTTTTGGGATACCTTTTGTTTCGTTTCATCTGGGAGTTCTTCGTCGCAAGCAGAGATAATGGCTCGCCCTGGATTGGGACGAGGTTCCCCGATTTGGGTCTTATTGGATGCCGCAGGATATTAGGGAGCATCCGCTCTGGATTATCAACGGAGAGGTGTTGGATATTAGCGTCGGATTGGTTCATCTGGATTCCAAAAGCGGGTGAACGCAGCTTGGGATGTAAAGAGAAATAAATGGGGACAAAAAACGACCCGAGCACGGATGACTCCAGACAGGTCGATGGGCGGACGACGTCCGTCCATGTATGTTGCTCCTGAAACCTTGGAAACAGATAGAAGACAGAACGAGCAACGCGTGAAGGAAAGACGACACCGAGCTGGGACAGCCCAAATGCGCACCATCCGCGGGGATTACAGATAGGCGGAGCATCCCAGGATTGAAGAGCGCAGGTAGGTGGCAATTATAGTCACAGGTACATGCAAGATCAACGGCGGACGGAGCACATGTCGCGCACTCGCACTTGTACCGGCGCGTGCTTCGGAAAGGCGTTAGTTCAGCTTGAGATGAAATAGACAAAACCTATCATAGAACTTGAAGGACGAGGGTATGGCCGGCCTCGTCTGATTCGCTTTGGCCGCTTAATGTCTGGGGATTTAGGAATACATCGTGCGTACTGGTATGCCAGGCTGGTTTGTAAATCAAGGTGTAAAGAACGAAAAAAGAAAGGACGAGGGACAAAGCATGAACGACTCCGCCTGATCGACATTGCGGCTTGGGCTTGGGCGGCGCACAGCTAGTATACCTGGTTGAGTCAACGGCGGTACGTCTGGTTGAACGGCTTGATGTCCAGAGATCGAGAGACATGTCGGATTGGAGGTTAGCGTGAAAACGGCGTGCGGCTAGACGTATCCATGCGCGGTCGATGGGAGGATATTACGGCCTCGTACGCCAGGGTTGGAGGGATCAGCGCAACTTGAGATGGAATCGAATAGACGAGAAGAATTTAACAGAGCAAGGGCAACGCATGAATGACGTCGTCTGATCGAGGCGCCAAGGATACGGATGGGAAGAGTGCGTAGTTGCACGATCGATGGCGAAGATGGGGGAGAGAGCGTCAAGTAGCTAGGACGAAGTGGGGAGGGAAGATGGATGGCAAGTGAAAAACGCAGCACGCTCTGGCTTCGAGGAATACTGCATGCGAAGGCGATGCCGGGATTTCACAGACCCTCTGGAGATTGGGAAGAAGGCGTGAGATGAGGATGAGGGAAGAAACGGAAGAAACAAGGAGCAGAGCTTCGATCCAAGGCGGCTTGCTACGTCGATCCCGAACTGAGGGAGATTGGGCTTATAGTTGGTCTCTGGTGCGGGATGTCGTGGGCGGCGTGGAGTGGCGTGAAGAATGTAGAGCCGAGAAGTGGGATGGGGCTGTCTCTGAATTGCATTGCATTGGAGGCGTTAGCTCAGCTCGAGACGCTGGAGAAAAGCAAGATGAATGGTAGGAAACTGAGCGATAGAGGAAGGATGGCTCTGGAAGGGAGCTTGACATCGAAGGATATGTCGGGAGCTTATGGCGCAGAGATGAAAGTGACTAGACGGTTGTCCAATTGCCATTTAATGTACAAAAGAAGCGCACTTCAAGATAAGGTGTATGTTCTGAATATTCGAACCGATTGCTTTCTACATCACCGCGTCAGCCAGCCTCTCCAAAAAAGAAAAAAAAAAACGCGTACCTCGGCGTCCTTGATCCTTTCATTTCATCCTTTTATCCATCCATCTCTCTACCGCCCCTCCGGCTTCCTCCCCCCACTCTGGCTCCCAGCCGGCCCCTCGCCCGTGCCACTCGGATTCTGCCCCCTCTGATGCTGGTACGGCGCCTTCCCGCTGGACCCCTCGTTCTCCCCCTGCGCGTGGTACGGCCGCTCCCCGCTCATCGTGCTATACTCCTTCATCCCCGTCGCCTTCTCCCCTTCATTGCTTGGTTTCCCCTCGGCCTTGCCCTGCGCGTTCTTCACCCCCGCATCGACGCCCGTGGCGCTCCACGGACCCGACGGCGGCTCGTGCGGCTTCTGCACGTTCTCGGACGACGGATCGACGCGGTGGATCTTCGAGTCCGCCGAGGGGCTCGAGTCGACGTCTTTGGAGTAGCTGTCGGAGGTGTGGGAGCGCGGTGCTGAGCGGCTGAAGGAGCGGGGGATGGAGCGGGTGAGGTTGGCGCTGGGGGCCCCGAAGCGCAGGACGGGGCGGAGGAGTGCGCGGGTCAACATGGTGGATGTGGTGAGTGTGTTTTTGAGTGGTGGTAGTGGTTTTGGAGACTGCGTTGGCAGCGTCGTCGACGGTGCGGGGTAGTTACGTCACTGTGTACTTGTTTGGCTACGGAAGCTCGGATTTATCCGAATCTCCACCGTCAACTTGGAAGTCCTCCAGGACTGTTTCAATGCATGGACTCTTGGTTTTCATCGGGATTCAGAATGGAGTGGGGAGATATAACGTGGGGAAAAGGGATGGAAATTTAAATAAAAAGGTTGCACTCATCGAGTTATATAGTATGACTCAGGCCTGAATCGAACAGGCGACCCCTGGATTAATTGCGGCACCATTTCTCTGTTCCATAAGCAGCTGCGAACCATCCGCCACCGAGTCGATACTCATGCTGTACATGGATTAGATAAATCAGAACGGAACTTGAATACATATGCCTAAATAAACGAGATTGACACGGCGAAGTTGGCAATACAAGTACATACTATCTGGAGCGCTCTCGGGAGCCTGAGAGATACCCGCTCTCTATCGCGGAGTACTCCTGACGTCAGGATCGATCAGAAGGTAATTCCGAGATGAGTAATCCTTTTCTTTTTTAAACAAAAAATGTACTCGAACGCATGATCATGACTCAGGCCTGATTCGAACAGACTTCCGTGTTATAATATTTGTCCCTAAATTTAGAAATTGAACGGATGCGGGCCATCCGCCACTGAGTCGATAGCCCCTTCGTAAACGAGATGCACCTAGACCAACCTGGACGCAACCAGCTAAGGGACAAAGGGGCACTCGAGGAACAGTGAATGGGGCCTGGTTCGAAGAGGCGACTTCCATGTCACAGATTTCTTGGCTCCACCACATGCGGACGTCGACAATCTACCAACGTCAAGATATAATGAGACGAGTCGATGGTTTTCTCTGTTTTTTGAAAGAAAAAACCCTGTCGGATGCATCGCATAACTCGGGCCTGATTCTATTGAATCTGTCTTGAATAAATCAGTCCAAAACAAAGCCATTATCAGCTTGGAGTGTCGATTGTACAGCAGCCGGGTCCTCACGAGTAATTCCAGGACTTCAACTCACCTCAGGTGGGCGGAAGGCTTGGGCAGAAGAGGGTGAAGAACGTGAATCACTGGGACGAACAAGACTGGGACTAAGCGGAGTGATGACTTGGGCCACAGCTGACTCTTGCATTAATTGGGACAAGAACTTGATAATCTTCACGATATTCGTGAATGAGTACTGAATAAATGAGGCTGGAATGGTGACAGCATACATGAAGGCGCTGCCGATTCCAACAGCAAGCCGGGCTGGGGGCAATAACTGCCGATGCGGGCGTAAGAATTCGAGGAAGGAAGAAAATATAAGGAAAGGGACTGACCGGCTGGATGAACAAAAACAAAAAACCCTTCTTCTTCAAAGATATGACTCGGGCCCGATTCGAACAGGCAAGTTCCGCATTCCAACATCTATCACATCTCACATAAAATTCAGCGGACGCGGACATCCGCCATCGAGTCGGTACTCCCAGTAAAAATGCGTTGAATAACGCGAATACTTACACCCCCATATGGAGAGACCCAGGTAGCCACGTCGTAAAGTTCGAGTAGTCTAACTCCGAAGCTCAGGAAGGCGGATGAAAACGAACAAAAAAATGTCAACCCCAGTCACGCATGACTCGGGCCTGATTCGAACAGGCGACTTCCACGTTGCAGCTTTCTTGTTTCTGCCCACGATAAGCAGACGCGGACCATCCGCCACCGAGTCGGTACTGGTCGGTACCTGCCTTCATTCTGCGCTGGATACATCAGAGCCAACACCTGCTTGGAACTGCATCGATTTCAGAGGAGCCAGGTCCTCACAGCGACTTCAACCCACCTCAACTCATACAAAATTTGTAGGAGTAACAGGAACTGGTTAATCCAGGTGAGCGCAGGGTTTCTGTATCGAGCAGACAAGGGAGAGCCAGCGAGTGGCCGGTTGGGAGACAAAAGCTCCAATAACTCTATGACTCGGGCCTGAATCGAACAGGCGGCGTCTGCGGTATCTAAATCACCACGTAACGTGCTCAACGCGGATATCAAGTACTATGCCGCCAAGCAGGATAAGATCAACGACGAACTCCGCTCCGAGAACAAGCAGCTGCATGCTACTTTGGCTGCCATGCAGGCTACCATCACCCGGCTTACTTTCGCCTCTCCGGCACCACTTCGCCCGCGCTCCCCGTCTCCAATACTCCCTCGGCCTCGTTCCCGCTCTCCGCAGGCGCATCTCCCCAGACGCCAGGCCCCTGCACATGCTGCCAAAGTCGCACGCTCGCGCTCCCCGACATCTGATGCTCCCCAGAAGCGGCAACGTGTCCTTCACGGGAAGGAGGGATTCCTGACGATGGGTCCATTGCGGGAGTGTCAGTTGTCGCCCCTCGAGTTGTTTGAGAAGATGGTGTCTGACACGCTCCCGACCTTCACGCTCACCAGGCCGTATACGGTGATCGTTGATCCCGTCTATCCGTACCACCTGCGTGTGACTTTGGACTCGGTCCGGGAAGCGGCCGATCTCGCGCAGGCTTGGGAAACTGGCCATCATGCAGTTGGAGTCAGGGTGATGCTTTCGGATGGATGTAACGAATCCGCCTCCAACGCAGGGAGCAGTGGGCATGTACAACGTAATGGTGGCCAGGGCAGTGGTGCTAGAAGGCACACGTCAACCAGTTCGATGCGTGGCCGCAAATAGATCATTGTGATGTCCAGATTAGTATGCGTATCTCAATGTGATGCTCAGAACACCTGTTTTCTGCTGTGTGTGATGTTGTGTTCCATTAGATGTCGTGCCTCCTGGCTCCCCTTTCAAGCCGGACTGCGCGAGCGCCTGCCGGCTTGCTAGTGTTTTACTATCATCTTCCTTGTTCAGCTGTAAACCTTACTCGGAAGTTGAACACACTGATTCATCAGTTGTGGACCTTCCGTGGAAGTTGAGCACGTTGAGTGGGTCCCAGGAGGAGGGATCGCGCCTCTCCTCATACAAACTGGCTCATGACGTGTCTGGAATTTACATGCTCGCATGTAATTCTGGATGGTGCTCCCATGCTCTGCATGAAATCACCCGTGCATTTTTGCACGTAAAATCGCATTTGCCGTGCAAAGGGACAGCCATGCGACAACCTTCTGTGTGACTGGTGGACTCTGGGGATTTACACCTGGGAAGGGAGAACTCTTCCCGCACACCAGCTACTCTGCTGGTGGTCAGGTCCCACAGGGTTTTATCCAGAGGTTCAGCCTATTCAAGGGCCAGCCAGTCCCAGTCTGTGAGCGTCTTGTGTGAACGACCCCCTGGAATCGGTTTGTGCTCGGTTGGGATCTTGTGGATTTCTGTAAGGATAACCACCTGTACAGTACCACATGTATACCTTCCGTAAACTCGTTGTTCAGACATTTGGACCATGCGAGTATAATTTACCCCCCCACGACTCACAATACGCAGATGCGGACCATCCGCCACCGAGTCGCTATCAAGGCTAAATCAGCACTGGATAAATGAAATGGAAACTCCACAATGATTAAATGGGCGGTACACATGTATTTGGAACACACACAAGAGAGACAGATGCGGTCCACCCGCCACCGAGCCGGTGTAGAAGAGGGAAGAACCTGGAGTGCGGCTCGTTGGAATGGGTCGGTGATCCGGTAGCTTTAGGATAGGTTTTTGGAAAAGGTGTTGGAAAGATCAGCTTGTGGGTATAGTGAGAAATGTGCGTCGCGAGAGGGTAACGGTACGTTGTGGCGAGTGGCGTGGGAGAGAGTGGCGATGGATCGAGGTTGTCGAGGGGTTTATACGTCGAGGTGGGCACTTTGGGGATTTGGTAGTTCACAGATGGAAGCACTAGAAGCACGAAGATTTGGCTCTGGGCCGCACTGGCTCGCACAGATGAGCGTAAGAGGTAAGATTCACTCCCCGTACGTATTTACGAACAAACAAATTGTGTAAGCGAAATTAGCTAAATATAGAAAGTAAAGTTAGTTGGAGGACGCGGAAGGATTTCCACGTCCCGGCCATCCGACCCTACCACACCGGTACCTGGCTTATATACGTGCTGGATGAATGTGTCGAAAATGATCGGGGTTCGCGAATCCAGAACAGGTGAATCATCAGGAAAAGAACAGAATTCCACAACCATCTGTCACGTCGGGCCCGATGTCAACCAGCGGTCACGAACAGTACGTTAACAGTCCAATTGTCGACGCAAGAAGAAGGAACTTAAACGCAATACCACATGGTCATACTCCTAGTATATTCATGAGCCAGGCATATGCATGCTGCTACACTAAGCCAATATCCGGAAATTTAAAGTTATGTGAATCGAGACCTGAGCAGGGTGCGATATATTCCGTGGGTATGAAGGACCCCTGTATTCGACTCTGCTACGCGGGCATATAGAGATGGAAATTAGGACATTCGATGCAAACCCACAAGATGGCGGCGACATCCTCCAAGAATACTTCATTTCCAGCATGCAACAAATTATTGTGAATCCAGACTCGGGTAAGATCTTCCAGGCGCAAGCTTGCACACCGGTGGTAGGTGGCAAGCTCTGCGCTTAAATTCGTTGTACGCAAGATCTGTATCACCCATCAGCATGAGGGCAATTAGTATTTCCTCTCGGATACTCACGGAAATATCGCCATGTAGGCCAGGTCCCACTGGCCCGGGTCGAGGTTCATAGATAACCTGATACGCATAGTCCGGATCTTGATCGGGAGTCGGAGTTGGGACAATGAAAATCCAACTATGATTGGGGAAAATCAGCAAGCAACCACAAGGGTTCGGGGCTGGAAAAACGGACCTTCGCTGTGTAGTAGACCCGGTCTGGATCTTTCGAACTGTAAAGCGATGTGGGGCTACGACTCTCAGAGCCTGACCCACACGGACGTCCCACGCGGTGGAAATCGACAAATTATCTTGGAATACTGAAGGGAAACCATGAACGACGCGGACTAGTCCGGGTGCTACAACTTGGTTATGAATTGTGATGGGGATTCTATACTCCCCCCTAAATGTTCACCCAGCTCGACCAGCCATGTGAGGGTATCCTGCGGCGCAAATTTCACTTGCTGTTGGACTTCAAACTTGGTGAAGTTGGCAATTGATTTATAGGAGGGGTTTTGGGAAAGTTGGAGATAGTACCTGGAAAGAGAGGGGTTATATAGCGCACGGTCAGAACAAGGGCGGATAATCATGGGTTGGTGGTTTTGGACCATTTAAACCCAACTAGCACGGCCGAGATCTCCAGGCATTTCAGTAAACAAGGGATCTAGTCCAAGGGACAAAAAACAGACAGACAGATGAGATAATGAGATTGGGATGCAAGAATTGGAGGGAGCAGATCGTGAAACGAACAGGCCCAGCGCCCAAAGCCCGTTGCAGAGTGCTACCCGAGGAAACCCGAGATCTGCTGCTCCTCGGATGGGGGAGGAAGGACCCAATCCAGTGCCGACCCGGCGACGAGTAAAGACAACGATCTCGGGGCGCTAAAAAAGACGCCTACAAGCAGCCAAATCTAGGACTTGACCTGTTCGGAAAATCTGAAGATCATCGAGACCATGGAAGGACACCAATAGATAGATGAGACGAGAGTCTGATCAGCAAAAAAGAAGTAGATCAGAGTCGGCTATAGAGGTAAGTAAGAAGAACCCCAAAATCTCTTGGTGGATCGTGCCGGGTAAATCGCAGATCTGCAGGGAAAATAGAGATCTTGCAGGCTCTGTTTTGGGTTCCCCTTTGGACAACAGTGTGGCCACTGGGGGTGGAAAACCGAGAGCGGATAGACGTGGATGCCATGCGTTTGATTCTCCATTTTTAGCTCCGGGAACACACAGCATCAGGTCGGCGAAGCGCGTGGACTTGTAACAGGCCGTAAAACTTTGAAGAGATCAAGCGGACAGTGATTTTAGTGTGCATGTGTGTGTGTTCATCAGTCAATTGACAAAGACCTAGTGACCTTGTTGGGCTTGTGAGCTTTTCCTGAGCTTATCCACAAGCTCACAAGGTCAAAAAAGCTCAGGAGTCAAAAAACACCTCCATGAATTTCTGAATTGTCCCAGATCAACACGAGAAAGAAAAGGAAAAAAAAATTGATGAAAATTTCGACCATGTGAAAATTTCCACTTCTTCTGGTGGCCTTGCGACCTTATGACCTTTTTAGACCCTCTTAGGCCTTGTTTGACCTTGTACAAGGTCAAGCAAGCACACCAAGATTAACTCAATTTCGATGCCGCCGATATTGTGTGATATAATCAGAATTGGTTTGCGAATAAATTGGGTCGAAATGGGAGCCGATACGTCCCATATAAGTCGGGCTGATATCAATGCTGAAATAGGAAGTTTTGTGATAAAAATCAAGGTAAATTATATGTAAGATATCGGCTTTGATTTCAGTCTGCTTGATGTGAGCCTCGAAACTCATGCTATCAGTGCCGCCAAAATGGCTGCAGATATTTTACATTTCAGGTGCATCGATATGGAACACGAAACCCGAAAATTCAGCTTTAATATCGGCGCTGCTGAAACTGGTAGGATCGGTCTCAGTTTCGGCTCAGCCGGCCAGGCAGAACAGATATCAGGCCGTTTGAAACCATTGGTATCAGCCTCAGTTTTGGAAAAGCCGAAACTAAAGCCTATACCACCAGTTTCAATGGGGCGGATATTAAAGCTGATTTTTTTTGGTTTTGCATTCCATATTGACGCACCTAAGATGTAGAATATCAGCGGCT